TGACAAAGTACATTTACTTTATGCTGACTATATCCTAATGTATCTCTTTGCTCTGGCTGCTTCTTGATCTTTTCCTTTAATCTTTTCTTTCAAGAGCAAATTATTCTGTCTTTTCATGTGCCCAAAATAAGCTGCTTTCCATTTAGTATACATGTTTGTGCATTTTATATTTAGTTTCTCCAGTATCTGGATATTTGTTATTACAAATGCTCTCAATTCATCATATTGTGAAAATTCTAGCAATGAAAATATAACACTTTCACGATCAGTATTAGTAATGATATTATCTCGAGCTAACATCAAAATATCTCAAATTTCAGATTGCAAGCAGGACCCAATGCTGAGAATATTCACATAGTTGCAGACCTCTATGCTGAAGTCATTGGTGTCTTGGCGCAGACTCGATATCAGTCAATTGAGAAGAAATTCATACAACAGTTGAAAGAGCTGCGAGCGGAACCACCAAATGTTCCGTTTACTACGCAGCGGATCATCAGTCTGATCATGGGGATGAAGTTTTACAGAGTGGTTATGTTTCCTGTAGAGGACTTTGAAGCTTCTTTTCAAATGTTACACGACTGTGCTGGGTATTTCATGGAAGTGAAAGATAAAGACATCAAGCATGCTATAGCAGGACTGTTGGTGGAAATCCTAGTACCTGTTGCAGCTGTAAGTTGTTTCACAATATTTCATGTTCCCGCTGCAAATCAAGCTTTAGAATTTGTTAACTCAGACCAGTTATCAAAATGTTAAATCAACATAGATGTACAAACCTGAGACATTATTTCTTCTGAAAAAAATGAATCACAACACAAAGTTGCCACTAGGGGTGCTATGTACATAACACAAAGTTGCCACTAGAGGTGCTATGTACATAACACAAAGTTGCCACTAGGAGTGCTATGTACATAACACAAAGTTGCCACTAGGGGGTGCTATGTACATAACACAAAGTTACCACAAGAGGGTGCTATTTACATAACACAAAGTTGCCACAATGGGGTGCTATGTACATGTACATCACACAAAGATGCCTCGAGGGGTGCTATGTACATGAGATGGTACTGTGAATAATTCATCTAAAGACCCTCGTCAATTTCTGATTAAATTTTGTGGATAACAATTTTTAGTGCAAAATGAAAGTCAATTCCAGGGTGGTCACTAAAAAAGTTGTCATGCTGGTCTGCAGGACTTTGTCTTTAAACTTGTATATAATAGAGAGAGTTACTAGTAGTCAGATTTGTTATCTTTTAATGACTTTGTTTATTCCATGGATAGGCTGTGAAGAATGAAGTGAATATACCAGTGTTGAAAAACTTTGTAGAGAAACTCTACCCCTCCACAGAGCAATGCACCAAGAAGACAAAACATGTGTTGGCTTACTTTCCACTGGTTACTTGTATACTATGTGTCAGCCAAAAACATTTCTTTCTCAATTACTGGCATAACTTTCTCAACTTGTGTTTGTCTCATCTAAAGGTAAGTGAGAAATATCGAGTTCATTGTAAAGTGTATTATGAATAAGATATCTATCTCCTATTTAGTTCCATCTACTGAATTTGGATTTTATCGTACCGCAGCCATTACTGCCTAATTTGCGTTCCTAGCCTCGCTTTCAGGGCCACTGCAAGGAGATGATACATACAATTCATCACTGAAATGTTTCGTCAATGTGATTTAGCAAACCTTGGAACGCCAATAGTAAGCAATGGCCACTGGATGATAAAAGAGAATTGTAGTCAAGATACTGTAAAGGGGGTAATTATTCACTGGGTTTTAATTTAGCTTATTTCGCTGACTGGAAAAATGCGCTAAATTAAAACACAGTGAATATGTAAAATTTAGCATAGAACACATTATCTAAATGACGAAACCGTGAATTTAAAACCCACTAAATATGCCTGAAATGGTAAATCAGTGAAATTTAAACCCAGTGAAAATTAGTCATTTTACAGTAGCAAGTATTTGAAGGAATTTCTTGGAGAGATGCAAATGTGTAATTGTGGGTTGTTCAATGTTTGTTTTTCTATTGAAAAAAAAAAGCTCAATGAAATGTGCAAATTTGTACTTTTTTGTTTTATCTATGAATGACATTCCATACTCAAATAATGTGCTTGATGTATAATCAAAGTGAAAACTGAAAATTCATTTCAAGATTTGTATCTTTCATACCTTTCAATTAATGAATCCTACATCATACTATTGTCATAGTACATATCATACATGTACACCATATATTTTTTTTAATTAATTCTCATTATCGATTGTTTGACAGAATCGAGATGCCAAGGTGTCAAGAGTTGCATTGGAGTCTCTATACAGATTGCTATGGGTCTATGTAATACGCATTAAATGTGAAAGCAACAATGTGACCCAGACGAGACTGCAGAGTATTGTCAACAGTCTGTTTCCCAAAGGATCCAGGAATGTTATACCTAGAGATACTCCCCTGAACATTTTTGTGAAAATCATCCAGTTCATAGCACAAGAGAAATTGGACTTTGCTCTTAAAGATGTCGTCTTTGATTTAATCGGTGTTGGAAGCAAGACAAAGATTTTATTTCCAGAGGTATGTCCTATTACTTGTTACTTACATACTCATACATTGCATAAATTCTTGTCTATTGGTCGTGGAGCTAGAATTTAGTGGAGAACAGTGTGCTCTCTAATAGGACTGATTCTGTGGGATCTCAATTCAAAATTAAATGCCCATCAAGTTAGGTTGTCGTCTTGTTGACTGCTGGGAAAATAGGTCTTCCAGAAAAAACAATACTGTGTATGGCTGTAGTTGATTTTGGAGAGTGCAAACTAAAATATTGTGGCCTTGATTTTCTTTTCCACACTTATTACGGTATGTTTATAAAATGTGAATTTCATTTATTTAATAAGATATTTTCCAAGGTCACTTTTTCAATGTACAATGTATGATTTTCTATTGAGTCGACGATGCACCAGGAAATTATCACAAAAATTTTCTGTGATTCAATGTAAAAAATTGATTTTCGCTAACTATAGTGGTTGTATACAGTATTATAGCAATATGTGACAATGAATTTGGAAGTAGGGATGGTGTTTAATGCAGAGGAAGATGTCAATGGCACAAGGCTTAATACTAGCTGTTTAATCTTCTACATTTTACTCAAATCTTCATCATCTGATTTCTACAATTCCTCACAGAGAATGAACATTGGACTGAGAGCATTCCTAGTAATTGCTGACAGCTTACAACAGAAAGATGGTGAGCCACCAATGCCCTCCACAACCAGTGTTCTGCCCTCTGGTAACACATTACGTGTGAAGAAAACCTTCTTAAATAAACAGTTAACGGAGGAAGCTGCCAAGTCAATAGGAATAGCTCAATATCACTTGAATATTCAAAAAGCTTTGGATAATATATTGAGAATATTAGATTTACAAGTTGGTAGGGCTATGATGATGACAAACTCACAGTGCATGAATAAAGAACCTGAAGATCTTATGACGTAAGTTGCTTCCTCACTATTTGTCATATTTCTCTAAACAGCACCCCCTATAGTTTTGTACGTCAGTCTTCCTTAAGGTAGAAGCCTAGTCATAAATTTAAAAACCCAGAATTTTTCGAGAAATTGATGGTTGTATTTTAGTGAAAAGTCGTCATTTTGACACTATTGTAACACTTTTACCACATGTTTCTATGGCAGAGATATTATGCAATATCTCAAAATATAGCCTGGTGACATAGGCTGAAAAAAATCATATATTGTTAATGATGGGGTACTTTTTGTTGTTCTGGGTTTTAAAAAGTGTCAAAAAATGCAATTTTTCTTATCTTTCTCAATCTTCTTTTCTTATAATATTAGGACAAAAAGCCCAACTGTAACACACAAAATAATGCTATTTCATTGTACCCTGGGACATGAACTTCATGATTGTACATAATAAAATAATGAACATTGTCATGCGATTTATGACCAATTTTTGCAAAAATTATGACTAGGCTTCTTAATGGTCAAAATATTGATTAATTCTCTCAATGTTCTTGCTAGTTGCAGTACGGTCAATGCATAACTTTAACATTATGCTGATATGCATGTATGTCTCATATTAGTATAAACATATTAAACGAATGATACAAAAATTACATAATGCAAGTTGCTGATGACAGTGAAACTCATTTCAAACAAGTTTTTATGAAAGGACAAAGACAACTTGGAGCCTGCTTGAATATTAAGTTACACCTAGACTGTAGATACTATATAGCCAACGTTTTCGTGAGTGAATAACATGATGTTATTATCTTCTGTTACAGGAGTGATAAGAAACCGAAGATTGATTTATTTCGTACCTGTGTTGCTGCAATCCCCCGTCTGATACCTGATGGCATGAGTAGGCATGACCTATTAGATTTATTATGTAGATTGACTGTACATATGGATGAAGAGTTGAGAGGGTAAGAAATAATTCCCTCGCTGACTCAAAGTGATAAATTATCTATTGTGATTCTCTGCCCTGGTGTGTGGAGGTGAAGTAATACTGTAGAATACTTTATTTTCGCTTGGAATTTATTTTCGCTCTTTTCGCTGAAGGGATGATTCCGTGAAAATAAAATCCATATATATACTTTTTTTCCTATATTTCACATTAAACTCATCAAAAATCAGTGAAAATAAATTCCATAAAAAATGCCCAAAAAGCCTTTTCAGCGAAAATAAAGTATTCCACAGTATTACTTAATAGCACAGGGAAAGGAAATAGGAAACCTAATTGGGATAAAAATAGGATGAAAACTGTGTGTATTTAATGTGAATCCTGAGCTATGCAATAGTAACATGTATGCATGTGGGTCAAATATATATTATTTCCTGGCACATACCAGTAGTAATGATGGGGGATTTAGTGATTACCAGTACATCAATATCAGGAGCACGATTGCAGATAGACATTCACACAACATTATATTGAAGATATTGCGCACAAGATCTGATCAACATATTTAATGACCATATATGGTCATATGACCAAATTAAAAATGCATAAATTTATTTGGAAAAATCTTAAAAATGTTTGCGATATGCACTCATATTTGCGAAATTCACAATGAATTGTCTATTGCAAAATCAAATCGGTTTACAGTAAAACAGAATATAGCTTGTTTTGACTCACAATGAACTCGCTGTGATGGTTTCATGGTGTTTTGTTTGCAATAATTTTATTTCAGACTTGCTTTCACTTCATTACAAAATGTGATGCTGGACTTGCAAGATTGGCGTGAGGATGTGCTGCTATGTTTTGTACATTTTATACTGAAAGAAGTACAGGATACGTTTACATTGTTACTGGACAGTGCTCTTAGGATGTTGGTGCAACTGTTAACCCAATGGAGAAGTGCTGTACAAGGCAAAGATGATAAGGTATAGTACAATATTTGCATAGTAATGAATTAATTTACATAAACAGAGATTGGCATTCAACAACTTTGCTGTTTTCTTCATTAGAATTAATTTAGATTTGAGGACACTTATACTTGCATGTAAATGAGGCTTACGAGGAACATGAGTTGTGGGAGATTCATTTATAATGAATTATACTTTTAGATTTGTTTAGCAAAGGATTCTAATCAGTTATGTGTTGCTGAATTTTAATTATTAGGTGTTTTTGAGTTGGGTGATATATGGATGACATTATTCAAAAATAGTTACTTGTTGCCACATAAAAAATGTTTTATAAATAATTTTACTGCCCTACAGTGTTCCCTTTAAGAGAGGATCATTTTATACAAAATTATGTGCATTTGTGCTCTTGGATTGCTCTAGAAGTCTTGTGTCTCTAGGCATCTTGTTATAAAAATAGAGCAGAAAATTAAACAAAATTACCATATATTCAAAGCGCATCCCCAGTAGAACTAAAAATCAGATTTGTTGTTTCCTGAAACATTAAAATATTACTTATTTTGACCATAGAAACACATCTGTAATGTGCTTTAGATTACTTTATTTTCGCTTGGAATTTATTTTCGCTATTTTCACTGAAGGGATGATTACGTGAAAATAAAATCCAGGGGAATATACTTTTTTTCCTATATTTCACATTAAACTCATCAAAAATCAGTGAAAATAAATTAAAAGCAAAACGCCCAAAAGGCCTTTTCAGCAAAAATTAATTCCAGCAAAAAAAAAGTATTGCACAGTACATGTACATAAAGCAGATGCGCTACAAATAGAGCAAACATGTATACAATTGCCACCATCTGCATTTGATTAATACTCAATTTGTATGTATCTTTCATGTGCTTTTCTTTATCTCATAGATGAATAAGATGAACTATGAGAGAAGTCCTCATGCCAATGTTATAAATTTTGTGGAAGGCTTTGCCTTAGTAGTATTATGTAGCTGCCGACCTGTTACAAGAAAACTTGGTGTACTTATACTTAAAGAATGCAGAGCATTATTTACAGCAATGGGATATACAAAGGTAAGTGAAAATTAATGCATAATCAGAGCTTGAACTTGAACTGAGTTGAGAGGTGCACTAATTATGGCAAAATTTGAAAAAAAAATCGTTTCAGTACATGGTTATACAATATGGAAAATTTCTATTTTCGAGGGCACCCATGCAGATTGCTGTCTCTGTAAAATTCAAGCCCTGTATGATGATACTTTATTACATCCAGGGTATTTTGTGGCCCAGTGCAGTGTCTATTCGTTTTTTTTCCAAATTCTAAACACATTAAAATTATGAAGCGTGCACTGATAAGAGGAGTAAATTACCTAGACATTGGATATTGTAAAGGTAAATATGTTATGCTACTAGTGTAGCTGAAATATATCGGTGAACATTGCATACTTTATAAACATGTGATTATTGGTATTCTTATCATTAATTTGGTCATACCAGAAGTTTACACCAATGATCACTACTGAATAAAAGTTTATCTTTTGAATTTCGGGAGTTTACCCAACCCGCCTTGTGATTGTGGATTACCGTAGTTCAATTTTCCCATGGAGCACATGTTTATGTAACTACAACTTGGCATATACATCCTTTCCATTTTAAATAAATAGTTTATTACGTGATTTACTACGTTGATTGCATACATTAATACGTCACAATATGCATTTATTATGTGTTCTCCTCCACCCTCTCAGATGTTAATTTGGCCCAAATCAAATGCACATCCAAACCATTTTTGCCAAATTTGTTGCAAATCAGTTGGCTAGTTTGCTAATTAGGTCGCAATTTTGATTTAGCCATTTTCCATGCGTATGTGCCTCACCATTAATGAACATTTAACACACATGACATCTCCTCTCATTTTGTAGATCGATGATGACGCAGTGATAGACGTGATTGATAAAGCATGTCCTGCCGTTGTAGAGAATTTATTATCCTATTTGCCACCTTCAGAAAAGGTAAGATGGTATAATACTTGACATTTAAAAAGAAAATAAGAAACATGTGTGGATTATTGTTGAACAGATGCGAGAGTACTATTGTTAATTAAATACATATTCAATGGGTTTAACGTTTAGCTATTAGCGGAATAAATGAAATTTAATCTAGTTAATAATTGATACTTTCCTACTTCATATGTTCTGCAGAATCCATTGAATTCATAAGGCACTTCTAAATAAAATTAATATTTACACACCATAACCTTCAATGCAAGTTAGCTTCAAGGCTCCAAAATTTCAGAATTTATGGCTATATCGTATTTGCTCTATTAGTACCAGTAGTGCATGTGCTTACCTATATTTTTTATAGTCAAAATAAGTATTATTTTAAAGAGTATTGCTCATTGCACCACACATGAGCTAATTATGGTTCTCATATGAACAAAGATAGTGATTTTGACAGACTGATGAGTACAAACCGAGACATTACAAAGCTTTAACTATATGTTTTCTTTGGTGACTGCAAGGTATCAGTGAAGTAATCAATGTCCAAACTCATACTTGTGATTTCTCTTAGAATAGCGCAATGAATTATGGGGAAATCAATGTTTATCAACAAATGTTGCACATGCGCGGCACGATGACCACTTCCCTTTAATGAAACAGCTAATTTTTGGTTTATTTGTGCTTCTAACTGTCCAATTACAGTATCAACTGATTTCCTCATGGTGATTACAATAATCATTGGCAATTTGCTGTTGTTACAATTCATGTTATACCTATTTATGTTGGTTGGCTTCACATGATAATAATATTGTTTATATCTCCGTCTTATATTACAGACTGCCTTTATAACCACACCTGTTATAGATTTACATTGGGTCATTGAAAGATCCTTGACAGTGTGGTCGAGTAATGAATACAACAATACTCTGAATGACAGTTATGGTAAATCTGTCAACTCTATAGATAACTTTGATGCCTGGGCCTGGTGCCTGGCTGGGTTTCTCAACAATGAACATTTACCACATTACAGTCCCTCTGCTGCCATCCATGCTTGGCCTGCAGTGTTTACAAGACTCATGCAGCTGCAAGCACACATTGATCAAAAGTAAGTTGACTGCACACTTGATCCCAAAATCATCATCATTACTGAAATTAAAAACATTCAAAATGTTATTTCAACAAAACTTAATTCCAGCTAAAAAATATTTTACAATTTTTTTTTTCATGAATGATTAATTATTAATAAAATGAAAGTTGAGTCAATGCGACTTTGTATATCAAACTTGAATCGCAAAACTATACTATGTAACCTTATGCTGGAAAGTTTCTGTCAACATTTCATAAATAAAGAGAATTTGCTGTAATGTGCAAATACAATTATGATTAGCTAATTTTTAATATGTCCAAATATTGCATTGTCATTAAATTTGAGTAACGTACAGGTGGTTAGTGCAGAACTTGTATGTTAATATTTTAGGCTGGAGTTTTGATCAGTACAAGACTTGTATTGCTATTCAACTGATGGCATTCCAACTCTTATCTGATGCCAATTGTATTTTTTAACATTCCTAATTTTTCAGGATTTTAACTTTATTATGTCACTTGTTTTTGAGGATGTTTTGTTGCTATCAAATAACAAAGTCTGTTTTACATGACCGCTGTTTAAATCCTATGCTTACTATGTTTTTGTCTACAGTAACCCAGCTGAAGGGACTAACAGGCCATCACTGCGTGGTAAAAAAGTTCTCAATACAGATGATATTAACATTGCATTGTGGAAGAATTATTTGGTATTTGCTTGTAGCTGTGGACCAGCTAGTTCTGGCATACCAATTAGACCTGTCTCCCCTGATATATTAAGGTATTTATGATTACAAATCAAGTTTACTGTGGCCAGTAGCCTTTGTCTACACCCGCGCAGAGTAGGGGGTCAACCATCTATTTAGGGTTCAATTGCAGATAAATTTTAACTCAATTACCTCCTCATCATTGAATCTGATCTAAAATGACCACCACTACAACCATCATCAAGCATACTTCATACTGGTTACATTGTATCATTGTATCTACATTTAAAAATTAAATTTAAAAATAATAATTTAATTCCTGATTTCCAGATTATTTCTTGTTAACTGTTCATATAACGTGTTGACAGTATTTGTTTAAAGTTAGGAAATCAGTCTAAAAAAGAAAGTCAATATTTTCGATAGCATTGTGAATCAAGTGATTCTGAAAATTTATGGATTTCAAAAGTATCAAGGTTTTAACTGTTTGAATGCCATGATTTTACCTGCCACACATTTTTTGTACTTTTCTATAATTCCTTCAATCTGTGAAATAACTTCCCATTGACTTCAGGTTGATATTTAGGAAAAAAATAAGGCAAATTTAATTTGTAAAACGTGACTATCTGACTTTGACCTTTAAAATGGCCAGATGCAATTCACCTTAAAGTGGCAGAATGCAATGCACTTAAGGTGGCCGAATGCAAGTTACTTAAAAGTGTTCAGATTTCAGTTACCTTAATGCTTGTTTATTTGATGCTGATATGTAACTGAAAAATATTCAAATATATTTGGGTTTATAGTGCATCAACTGAAAGCATGCCCTCTTCAGAAAAAGTGGATTCCAAGACATCGCTAAACGTTACAACTGACAATGCTGCCAGTCTATTTAAACTTATAGTCCCGTTAATACGGTGTGAGAATGCTGAAGTAAGAGACGCCGTCGTGACTGGATTAGGATGGTCTAGTCCCCATGCATTCAAGTAAGTCGACAAGAGTAATTCACTGTGAACTGTTGTAATTTTCTCAAATTTCATGAGTTGGCAAAAATTGCTTATAACTATAAAAATAATTGTTTTTAAAATGGTGGACACTATGGTAAGAGAATGGCAAACTATTCTGGGGTAGGGGCGACAAGTCACAGGGCTCTCTCGCTTTGAACAGGATCTTGGTGTCCATTTTTAAATACTGTACAATGATGTATGTAATACTGATAATAATTTAAACTTTTCCATGTGCAGAAAATTTGTATTTAATAATTTAGATGCTCACCTCACCCTAGCAATGTACTGGTATTTTTTTTTTAAAATGTCCTAATTCAAGTGTTTTTTTTTATTAAATTCACTATTTCACACTAAAAATATGACAAAAATGTTCCAGAAATAGGACAAAATGTTATAAACTATTAAATTTGGAAACAAATTAACTCCTAATGTAATGGGTCAAAAAAAAATGTTTACTTATGTAGAGGCCATGATTATTTGTCAACCCACTGTTATTTATGCATTCAATCTTGAATCTATTACTTTTTCTGAACTCATTTTGCTATTTTTAGAGATTTGGTGGATGAACTTGCACCATTTATCAAAGAAGGCATTGAGAGAAAACAGGAAAATATGAGAAGAAAGAAAAAACGAGATGCACTTCGATTACAGCTAGTTCATGTGTTTGATTTGCTAGCTGAACATGGTGTCTTCAAAGAAAGGTACCGTTATCTATATTTCAGTAGAACTCTGTTGCAGCCATTGTGTGTGTCATTAAACATATAGGTTTGATAGACATATTGATTGTAGCTATGGTTAATTAAAGAGATTGCATGAGCATTTTTGAGAAGCAAGTCCTGGTATGTTAGATTAGACCTGATGAAAATATACACTTTTTATCTCAGCAATGCAATCTCTGCGACAAAATTAATGTCTAATTAATTAATGCATTGCATCAATATAATAATGATTCATTTCAAATATGATAATTAAAAAAAGTTAATATGTTGTATTTTATTACGAGGTTACTATGAGGTTATTATTAGAAGTATGTAGAGGTTATTGCATTCCTGTATTGTCGGAGTGCACATTTTTTTCTTGTGATAACCTTATTTTGTTGTACATACATGTATAATTCCCTCTTGTACTAATAAGTTAATGAGAGATAATGGCAACAAAAATTGGTTTGCACTGTCACAGCCAAAGTGCTTCTGTCTCTGATGTAAACATAAGAAATGTTTTAAAAGTTACATATATTTGAGGGATATTTTACAAATAAGAAAAACATTTAAATGGATGGGTATGTATGGATGGATGAATTCTATTGTTATTCGATGCTATATATGTTTCATAGTATGCAGATACCCTATGCAATATACCTTAAAGTATGCTGTAACTTGTGGAAATATGCCAACAAGTGTATAATATAAGGTTATTACGAAGATATCAGTACAGCGGCAGTATCGAGTGGCACTCAGCAGAGGTCTATGCGACAGCGTACTGTCTGAGTGCATACTTTGAGGTATCTTCGTAATAACCTTATTATTACCGGTATACACCTTTTCCTACCAAGGATACATACATCATGAGAACGCCAAAATCTAAAAAGTTTAGAACAGAATCAGCGAACTTCTTTGTATGGAGTCTGCTCAAACCCGGGTGGCAGTCATGTTTGTTTTTAGCTCCGCTGTCGACTTTGTTGAGCGGAGCTTATCATATGAGTGATTGTCCGTCGTCGTCCGTCGTCCGATGATATCTTCAATTCTCTAATTTTGGTGAATATTTTTGTCATTTTTAGTAAAAAGTGATATTTTCGACTTCTTGTTGAAAACCGCAAGTGCAATTGCTTTGATATTACATATATAGGTACTACATGTGGACCTCTCTCAGATTTGTTCATTTTGTAATGATATCTTTAATTCTCTAATTTTGGTAAATATTTTTGTCATTTTTGGTAAAAAGTGATATTTTCGACTTCTTGTTGAAAACCGCAAGTCCAATTGCTTTGATATTTACATATATAGGTACTACATGTCGATCTCTCTCAGATTTGTTCATTTTGTAATGATATCTTCAATTCTCTAATTTTGGTGAATATTTTTGT